GTCATTTTGCACAGACATGAATCATTGATGCATGCAGGTAAATCTGGTTGATTGGCTGAAAATGATGGTCGGAAGCAGGCGATCAGAAGAAGTGGTGGACCCAAACATTGAGGTGAGACCATCAACAAGGGCCCTAAAGCGTGCACTTCTGACTGCTCTGAGGTGTGTGGATCCAGACTCGGAAAAGAGACCCAAGATGGGCCAAGTCGTGAGAATGCTTGAGTCGGAGGAGTATCCTATACCAAGAGAGGTTAGTATTTCAATTTCTTCTCATGACATATGGTGGTTTGCAGATTTATGCACATACACACAAACGTAAAGGTCCCAAAGCTTGTAACTGATAGTTGTGTTAAACATTCAGGATAGGAGGCATCGAAGGACACAAGGGAGCTTGGAGATAGAATCACAAAGAGAAAACTCAGACACTGATCGGAGTGACAATCTGGGATCAAGATCAGAAAGCAGGACATAAATCCTAACAGACAATTCATTTGGAACTGGAGGTTGTTCGAGATTTATAAAAGTGGAATGGGGGCGTGTTGGGGGTGTAATATCATAAAATTTTCTCAACGGTCTAAAATTCTTGGATTTGCCTCTACATGAGCTGCTGATATCTAGCTCTAGGGGAAAAGGGGGGAGCTGGGGGAAGAAGGAAGGAGATAATTCTTCTATATTCTTTTTTTTTTTTGAATGTGTAGATTGGAGAGATGATTTATTTGTGTATTCAAGTGGTGTTGTGTAGAACCCAAATGATAGGGAGTGTGTATATAGTTGAATTAGGTGTCCTTTTGTTTTCTGAATTCTGAGTACAGAAGGAGAAGAAAAAGAATCTTGAAAAACAAAAACATAAAGCTTTTTTAAGTTTTGTCATAGGAAGGCAGAGATGGGAGGTGGCATGATAATCCAGATCCGATAACGCAAGAGGCCTTCCATGTTTCAAACGCTTAATCCTAACGTGTGGGATGCATTTAGAATTCAATCAAAATAGAAGCTTTCCTTCCACTTCCATTGCCGACTGACTGATAACAACAAACGAACCCATATCGTTTACATACGCCATACTAACAGCTCTTTCAATTTCCTCAAACAAACCGACAAACGGACGATGAGCTCTCAACCATTAAACGCACCGTGTTGACTGTCTCACTTCTGTATTCTCTTGGCAAGACTGGCGTTTCGAGTCTTCAGTATTAAAGCCTATTTGTGGAATCATCTTTCACTAATTTGAAGCAGCAGCAGTAGGTGTATTCATGTCCATCAAGGTTTTCTTTTTCATCAAATCGAAATTGATTGTTAACCCTAAAAAGCACACAGCTTTGACGGTCATTTGCCATTTATTTCCCGGGTTGGAGTCACAAAAACGGAGAGAGGGAAGCCATCCTTTGTCCATGCGATCCGCTAAATTCTCAAAAAAATTAATTTACTTTTTTAGTACTTTGCAAGTAAGTTAGCTGGCTGGCACCCTTGGGTTTTTTGTTTTGTTCGTCTAATTTTTCAAATTTCAATCATGCAAGCGTGAAATAATGTGAGGCTCGGTTCCTTAATTATTATACTTGCCGTCAATAAGCAATCCCCATCTTCCACCAACTTATGGAATCAATGTCCTTTCAGCAAGGATGGGTTCGTTCCATTTTTCTTCATCCACGATTTTCTTCTTCAAATGAAACCGTAATAAGCCCAAAGAAACAATCCGGTTTTTCTTATTATCTCACCTTTTTGGTTGACATTTCGTGCACATCAAACATCCATAACAGGGAAACCAATTTTCCCATGGGACACTGCAATTGCCAATTAGGGGCCTAATATGTCGGTTACTAATTCCAATTTACTTCGTTGAGTGATTTTGGCCAGAGATTTTGTATGGGTTTTAGCCCCTCAGTTTCAGACTCATATCAATTAGCATCAGAGTCCCAATCTCTGTTTGCCAGGACTAATTAACAGAGCTAGTCTTGTTAGAGGTCAGTGGGTGTGTATTTACTTTTAGTTATTGTAGAAAATCTACTCATCTTGGTTTTTATATTGCAATGATGTTCTGTTTTAATCACGAAACTTATTGATGATTAATGTGGCAAATACGTTGAAGATACGAACAGTCGACAAACGTATAATATCTTCATATTCTGGACTTGATTGCAGATCCGCCAAAGATATGCTGCCGCCTGCCGAAGGATGGGGATGAGAATCTGGACCAAGTCTACGGGCTCTGTCATCCCATACCATTGGAATTTTTTTCTGTGTCATCCCATGCCACTGGATTTTTTTTTCCTTAAAAACAGTAGTAATAACTGGCCTAATTATCTTGTTAACCAAGTAAACATGGCTTTCTTAAGTTAATCATCCATGTCCTTTTCATTTCTGTAAAAAAAATATTGCTAATCAAGTTCTTTTTTCCTGGGTTCATCGTCTCTTTTATTTCATTTTTTAATTATGCTCATGGCCTATGGTTAAATGCTGCCTGAATTCATAAATATTTTGTGGCCTTAATGTCAACTCTTGTATTTTTGTGATGCGGGTTCCCTTTTATAAAAAGATACACGGTGCATATGCTAATGAAGAACCTTAAAATCCATGCTGCTTTGACGGTTGATCCATTCTAATAAATAACAATTTCATGCTTGTTTTTGCATCTTTGATTCTCATACAGAAGATTTGAAAGTATATATGCGTATGTGTCTACAGACACACATATATATATATATCTATATAATATATGAAGAGGTTAAGTATTTGACAAGGAAGATTCACGCATTTTTTATTATACAAATATATTCGACCGGTCCAACGCGATGAAGCGGGAACAAAATGCCTTTTCCTTCTCCTTGTAAATCGATGCCCGTTTTCTCACCGAAACCAAACGCACGAATGTATTCAAATAGCTTGTCTTTGCCAAGGCGATTGCCGAGTTCTACAAACCCCGGGTTGCAAGAGTTTTGGACCACTTCAAGAAACGTTTGATCGCCATGCCCTCCACGTTTCCAACAATGAAGCGTCGCACCAGCCACTTTCACATATCCCGGATCGTAAAAATGTTCTTTTAATAAATCGACCTTTTTTTCTTCTAACGCTGCCGCGAGCGTAATAATTTTAAACGTCGATCCCGGTTCATACGTGCTCCAAATTGGCAAGTTGCGGTTAAAAATTTCAGGCGGCACGTTTTGAAAATCAGCGGGATCAAATGTCGGGCGGCTTGCCATTCCTAAAATTTCTCCGTTGTTCGGATTCATCGCAATCGCAATGATTCCATCTGGGCGATACGTCGCTTCC